TGAGGATTACTTTTCCTAAGATGAATATTTTCACTTTGTTAATCTTACCTATCCATGAGCATGGGATATCTTTCTATCTTCTGATATCTTCTTCCATTTCTTTCTTCAGAGACTTGAAGTTCTTGTCATAAAGATCTTTCACTTGTTTGATTAGAGTTACACCAAGGCTTTTCTTTTTAAATTAATCATGACTATTTTAAAGGGTATTGTTTTCCTAACAACTTTCTTAGGCCATTTATCATGTGTATAACAGAGGGCTACTGATTTCTTCGAATTAATTTTGTATCCAGACATTTTGCTGAAGGTGTTTTTTAGCTGCAGGAGTTCTAAGGTAGAATTTTGGGGGCTATTTATGTATACTATCATATGATCTGGAAGTAGTGATACTATTTGCAGGGCAGTAACTCTCACGTGGACGTGGGTCCTGTTCAGCTATGTTGTGGTTCCCACGTGTCTGCCATGGCTCAGGGAGGCAGAATTGCAAATATTTGACTGAGTTCACTCCACACAGCACTGGGCAGATGCCGGGCTGTGAGAAGCTGCAGGGCTCCGCTCAAGAGTGGAGAAGTCTCAGCCTGAAGTCCCATGGGGGCAGAACTCCTGAGTAGGGGTCTCTGGGCTGAAGTGGCTGACAGGGAGACCAGTGGTCTTTGTCTTTGGGCTCCTAGATGCTGCTGGGAGCCGCGGAAGAACCGAGATGGAGTGGGCATATAGGCTAGACTGGCCTGCAGCCAGGAGGGACTAGAGGGAGAGAAGCTCTGGCAGTGCCCCCACGGGGTGAGAAACTCTTTGTTACTACACTCAATTAGCTGGGTCAACTAGCTTGCTTGAGTTGGTGGCCTTTGTGGTGGGAACATAGAGAAGTCTTCTAGTGAGAGATTAAGCAACAGCTCAGTAAAGACCTTCTCCACAGTTCCCCGTGGCAGGGCCCCAAAGACACAAGGAAGTCCTTGATTTTAGAAGATTTGTTTTCATGGCAGAAAGTAGATGTTGTTGTCCCCCTCGTACTCCCAGGGCGGGCCTTTGGTTAAATACTCTTTGTAAGGAGGAGGGTCTGGGGAGAAATGCTTAATTATCTATGCCCTCTGGCCTTTAAGTATCTCATTAATATGGATATCTCATGAGGCTCTGAGGCCTGTAGTCACACTTTCTACCTGTGCAAGGTGCCACAAACCTCTCTTTGGGAGGGGTTCTAGGGGTATTGCCCTACGTGACTGAAAGGCACGGATCAATGGAGGTCTTCAGCCATGTGTCAGGAGGCTGGAGTTAGGGAGTGTGGCAAAATGTATACCGTCCCTTGCAGGGTGGGTCTCTAGCAATCTCTAGCCAGTGCTCCACCAGAAACCAAGCTATCCATTCACAGTCCCACATTATTTCTTCTTTTTCAATTTGTATCCTTTGATCCTCTCTAGTTGTTGTATTGCTCTATCTAGAACTTCAAGTATTATATTGAACTTGATACATATTTTCTTTCGAGATAAAAGTATGTTGTGAGATAAAAATTATATTAAAAAAGGGAGTATAAATCTCTGATATAAAGATACCATAATTGTTTTTTACTATTGTATGATTAGAAAACTCAGTCAGCCTTCACTCATTCTGCCCCACTCCATTCCCTTATCCACTCTCTGTCTCTTTTTCAATGTATGCTCCTCTACCTCCTGGTAATACTTCTGCTTTATTTTATGTGCATATCATTTCCCCATCTTCAGAAATATTTGAAGATTAGTAACTTCAGTAAACCACAATTTTGCAAAGCTATACATTTCATAATAAGATTTGATGAGATTAATATTTTCTACATTCAGAGGAACAGACATCATCCCAACATCACCTCTTTCACAATTAAAAGACAACAAAGTAGTATGGTGATTTATATCATTGGAAGGTTGGGAAAGAAGGGTTGAGAATTTAAGGCAAGCATGTGCTTACAAAGCAAGTTCAAGGACAGTATTTTCTATATAGACAGATCCTATTAAAGAAAACATAACACTTGTCAGTGACAACAGATATCAACAACTGTAAAAGAAATACACCATTTGTTGTTTTTAATCATCTATTTATTTTATTTCATGTGTATCCATATTTTACTTCCATGTATATATTTGTATTAAATATGTGTCTGGTGTTCACAGAGCCAGAAGAGAGCATTAGATGCTGTTGGAACTGTAGTTATAGGCATTTGTGAACCTTCACTATGTGTAATAGGAACCTAACTACCTTTCCCTGAATGAGTAGCAAGTGCGATTAACTTCGGAACCCTCTCTCCAATCCCTTTAAACATTCCTGTGCATAAGCATTTAGACATTTGTTTCTGGTACTCATACTCATTTTAAGTGTAGCTTTCTCTTAATTTTCATTTAAATGTGTATATATATTTGAAATGTTAATGTTGCTTCTTTTACAACCAAAAGAACTTTTGGGATTTTAAACGCTAGTTATTTGCTGAAATATGATAAGGCAAATCTGACTTGCTAATTTTTTATATTATCAAGAATATTGTTTAAGTGAGCCTTATAATGTATATAACTTACTCTTCAATATATACTTTAATGAAAAAAACTAAAAGTAAGGTGTGACAAGTTTTATATAACTGGCTAAAGGGTTATATCACAACCTTTCACTCAAATAGTTGCTGTGGGCAAATGATTAAGAAGGCAAATATAAACCTCTGGACATCCTTTCCTCAAATATAACCTACTAAGTGATAGCATCATTAATCATTTTAATTATAGTCAATCACATCCAGGAAGTTATTTTTCCTCAGCTGTTTTGTGTTAATAACTATATTAAGCTATTTTTCCTTAGACCAACAAATTTATTCTACTACATATCAATGTCTTATCAACATTCCAAAGGACTTCTTGAAGGCTTATTTTTTCCTAACAATGGTTAATAAACTACCATAAATGTACGTTTCAAGATTTACATATGACATAATAGGTTGAGTGATACAATATTGATCAAAATGTTGTTTATTTAAATATTATAATTGTACAATATGTGGTATGTGGGCATATGACTTAATGGATAACATGCTTGCCATTCAAGCATGAAGATCCCCAGATAGTGCATAAAACCAGACTTGCCTTCAGGCCAGCACTTGGAATGGCTCAATCTCGTCCCCAAGTATTTCATGAGTTCCAGACAAGCCATGACTACATGAGATCCTGTATGAAAAAAAGTAGATTAAATTAAATGTAATCAAAATAATCTAATCAATCACTTTATATTGTATTAATATTACAGAATCATATTACTTGCATTTATATGTTATTTATGGTACAGTTGGGAATGCCCATATGACTCTGCTAAAGCCCTCAGGTGAGAGTGTAGCTTTGCTAGAGTACTTTCTTATTAAGAACACAGGCTAGGTTGTACTACTTGAACATGCAAACAAAAAATCTCCCCAACTAGCAAATACCAGGAATATACCAGTAGTGAAAATTAAAAATATTTAGCTTATTACCAGAGAAGACAACACTTCAAAAGAACCATGTGCCATTTTTCAACAACTTTTAGTTTTAAGGGGGATGAGGAATGTGGAATCCATGTTCTAATTGCCTGCTGTCAAGAAGCAGTCAAGTCGACCATCAAAGTTAATGTAGCATTTCAGAAGGACTGAGTAGGGCTAAATTATATTGTTGTTCAAGGAGCAGCAGTGCATATTAGCCATTTTTGTAATGGCATAATACCCCTGTCTTTCTAAATCTGGTAATGGGATGTCTTTTTCTCTACCAAGCTCATTTTCTTGAAGTACTTTAGTCTGTGTGTCTGTGTGTCTGTTTTGTCTGTTTGTCTGTTTAACTGGGATCATCATGGCCTAGCTGGATATTAGCTACTAACCACATTTATTTTTCATATTCTCGAAGGTATCACTGAAAGCTTTATTACCAAGCATCAATACCTATTTACAATATATTTGAAAAGCTGAGGTTTTCATTTTTCTTAACTATTTTTGGTAAGAATAGTTCAAATGATTTTTGACAGTTACTTTTTACCACTGGTTATACACTAGGAATATTTGCAAATGGCTTATGAACTGCCTTTTTAACCCAAATTCTCTTAGACTACTTCTAGAAACTTCCCCAAAGTAGTGTTAAGAGATGTCTCTTATAATTATTTAAGGATATCATTCAAATATTTGCAATTCAAAATAAACAATTGAAACAAAAACTATTATAAAGGATCAAATATGAGCTGAGTCCATTCTAAGGAAATATTTAAGGATGTCAATTTAAGTTTGTTCAGTAGCTCTTGCTACAATTAACAAAGCATTTTTGAGATTTCAATATCATCTCTAGGCCTCACATATATTGGATACATTTATAGAGGGAGACATAGGATAAAATTGTGCAGTTGAAATGCCCACATGCATGTCTGTATATATACAGTCAGTTTATACATGCTAAGCATTCTCACAAGACCTGACTTTAAATTTGTAATAATCTAAGCACAAAGAGTTTAGAATCGCAGTGCATTTGTATTTGTATGTGATTATATGTGTGTGCCTACCTGCTTGTGTGTGGATGCTCACATTCATATGTCCACACATGGAAGACAAAGGTCAATATTGGCTGTCTTCTCTGTCACTTATCCACCATAGATTTTGGAACAGGGTCTTTCACTGAGGCTAAAGCTTATGGATTGGCTGGAATGATGGCCAAGGATCTTGTAGGATCCCCCTAGGTCTTCACAGAACACCCAGGATCACAGGTGAAAGCTGCCACATGCAGTTTTTTCTATTTAACCAGGTAGCTTAACTGAGGTCCTCATTTTGCACAGCAAGCACTGCCTGTTTCCAGTGAATCATCTCCCACGACCTTCTTTTAAAATTTTAAATTAAAAATTTTAAAAATATCTGTTTGGAAATAATTTTTTTCTTGTCATTATTCATGTTCTTCATAAAGAATATACTCAGAAAATGATATTAAAATGATTAGCTAAGTTATATTGACAGTGTTTGTAAAATCAGTAACATGTATGCTTTTCTATTAAAGAGGAAGTTAGAAGATCTGAGGTCTGAGTGGGAGGCTGTAAACCATTTACTAAGGGAGCTGAGGACAAAGCAGCCTGACCGTGCCCCTGGACTGAGCACTACTGGAGCCTGTAAGTATATTTTATCCCAGGTGTTCTCTTTTGCTTTAGCTGTTTGTTCAAAAGCATGGCTGGGAGGTTATCTCTTAGTGAAAGGAAAATTGGTTTCTGATTCTGCATAAAGGAGTAAACATTTATGTTATTTATTATGCAAAAGGTCTTTGAGTGGGTTCCTTGGATACTGAGAGCAATACAAGCTGTATTTTCTGAAGATTTAACTGCAAGGAAAAAAGGGCAAAAGAGGAGAAGTCATAATGTCTTAAACTGATACTTTAGCTTGCTCCTTGGCACTAAAACTGGATGGCTTTGTGGAGGACACTGAATCTCTAGGAGAAGGCCTCTCCTTTGAATTTCTGCTATACTAGAAGCAGAGTATTCATAGGTATAATTTTAAACTAAAATTAAAGGTGGTTCTTGATAAGGAAACCCAACAAAGTACCACATCCCTAGCATCTAAACACAGACATCAAGGTGAAAGTTCAGTGACAATGGAGACTTTAAAAATGTGCAAGATTGTGTTTTGTTTTTTGTCATCATTGTGAACTGAAATTTCTTTATGAAGGTTTAGTGAATAAATTATGCCAGTTTATTTTCTTTCGGTTTAGTGAATAAATTATGTCAGTTTATTTTCTTTCATGATCTCTAATTTTTAGTTCTCTCAGCACATATGCACATTGTCCATATGCAATCCTTTATTGATATTTGTTGTCTAGATGTCATTGGTGTGTTCAATGTCAGAGTCTGTAATACTGTGAAGAAATGTTATGCCAATGATTTATTTTATAAGCTTGTGGAATGGAATTTAAGGGTTTACACTCTCATATAAGGTTCTCTGAATATTACTGAAATAATCAAAGTCAGGGAACAGAAATCTATTTAAGATGCAGTGTTCCTGAATGGTAAAGTGGTGTTTCTAACTGGACATATATTCTTCATTTTTGTTTAAGTACATACATAATTAATCCATTTAATCGCTCTACATGGAGCAGCTTCTATGCATTAGGCATCAGACTGAGTGCTGAAAATTAATCAAAAAATATGTTAGTCTATCCTTTTATGAAGCACAGTCAATGCAGTAGAGAGAGAAGATAAAACAATAAAAAGGAAATGCATTATCTCAATTATAAGTGCCATAAGGTATAGTCTACAGATTACTGCCAACTGGCCTGGAAAAGAATGACAGAAAGTCAAGGCCTACCCTTAGCCCTTTCAAGTTTACATGAATATTAATGGACTCTGCAGGTGATTCTAGCACACACTGGAATATGAGAAACCTAGTTACAGAGAAAATGAGAAGGGCAGAAAGTGGGGAAGTGAGTGGTAACAAGGGCATTATTGGCTGAAGTCTAGCCAGGTAAACTTGTCTGTCCTGAGAACATCAGAAGGTGATGCATAACAGTGAGACTTGTATATGTATGGTCAAAAATGATAATAAGCAGAACTAAACCCCACAGCTGCAACACCAAGTAAGGTAATGGAGTGAGAGTGAGGTGATAAACACCATGGCCAGTGAGCTTGCAGCAGAGGCTACACAAAGAGCAAGCACTCTGAAAGAAGCTAATTTTATCAGGTACCTCCTCCATTTCTCTTCTCCCTCAATGAGGTCTATGGCTCCTTGTGTTGCTCCACTATTCCTACTATATTGCTGCCAGTGGGAAGTGTCCTCAGGACTGAGCCACTGGCAAGAGTAGGCAGCTCGAGGACCAAAGTGGAAAAAGTGGAAGAGGAATTTTCTCAAAAAGAAGATTGGTACTTCCTTTGGCAAAGTGACAGAAAACTGGCCATAAGGTCAGCCTATTAAACACACAAATGTTGAATGAAGGGAATCAACATGAAGTCAGAATCATCTTGCTTTTATTCTAAGACATTATTATTCCAAGACTTCTCTTATATGCATAGCTTCCTCTATACTTTGATAGATATTCCTGAAATAATTGCAAAATAAATATGGTTAGGCACAACTTTATTTAAGGTAAGAAATCCAAGGCATAGAAAGAATACTGCTAGACTAAGGTGTCACAGCTACAAAACAAGAGAGATGGGATCCTAGTCCAATTATATCAAGTATTGTTTGTTTTGTTGCTGTGTCTTACACTATCTATCTGTCCAACAACACAACGGGAATTCTAAATAGATGCAGAGAGCAAGCAGTTAATGCTAATTAAACACAGCCTTACATTTCTAAGGAGTAAATAGTGATCTGTATTGTTGTACCTTAAAATCAGTTTTCTCTGAATTTCTTAGAAATGGAGTGCTGAGCCTGGAATAATCATTGAAGTTGTCACCTGGTTGAATATTTTTCTTTTAACATGAGTGGAGGCTTGAGTTCAAAGTGGCTTTCTATTTGAATTGATTTTATGTTTTTCAAAGTGGCCTTTTAAAAAACACTAAAGCAAGCATCCCTGTGGCTGTTTACTTCTATTATATAATATGATGCAGAGGTCTTGTCAGAGCTGTACAAATTGTTCAAATTTACAAGATAAGTGGTCATGCTCTGAAAACTGTTTGATTTATTTTGATGATCTTAAGTATATGGGTGTCTCAGTTACCTATTATTTCTTATAATGCCCCAAAACTTAGTGGCCTAAAGCAATTTTGCTTTTGATTCTGTGACTCGTTTTTTTTTCCTGTTATCAGCCAGATGATTATTGTGATTGTTCCACTTAGTGTGAATGCAATTATTCAGCATCCAGTGAGCTAGAAATTCTAAACATCTCTAATTAAATGTTGTAAAGGTGGCTGTTCACTAGAGATCCTCATTTCTTCATACAGCCTGCACCCTCTGGTAGGCCAGACTACAGCTTCATTCTGTGATGCTAAGCTTGAAGTACTCATGATACTTAGACATTGACATTTACATAATACTTCCACTAGTCTCTATTTGTCAATGCAACTTGAAGGCTTAGTCCACAGAAGGAGTAGTGTAATCTCTTGAAATAAGAGTTATGTTGTTACATGCTTGTTTGGACAAGATGCTTGATGGTAATCATCTTTATATATAAACTACCACAACGAGAAAAGAACAAAAGACACACAAGTCTCAGTTTATACACAGTGCCCTATGTCTGTGGTTTTTAAATTTCAGCATGCAAGAAGAAAACATCAATTTCTTGCTAAAGTAGTGAACATGAGACTTCTACGAGAGAGATTTGTTCTAGTAAGTTTGAGGGAAAGGCAGTATCTCTAAAAGGTTTAAAAAGATAGTCCAATACTGGCTGCTGATCATAGGAATGCAGTTTAAACAGTGATGTATCAGGCCTTGGTTGCTTGTGAGAGTTTATCTTTCCATTTACTGCTTTGTGTAACTCTTTGGGGGTTCTGATGAAATTCAGTGTTGTGACTAACAAAGCAACTCCTTTATATTTCCAGCACTTTCTGTCTCTGTCTTTATTTGATAAAGGGCTTTGTAGCTTAAAAGTTCAATGGGTAGAAAGCACATAAAGCAGGTGATAGTTATCCAGCAGAGTGTTTCTGTGTACCTAGCAGACACTTAATAGGAGAGTAACTATACTTGTATGAAGTTTCTTTGGAGAAGCTAAGGGACATTTTTAGCCAGCCAGCCAGGACTTAACATTGGTCTGAAGGCCTGTGTGGCAGATGGAAGCAAAGAGCCAGCAAATCTGGTGGTAAATGTCACTGTGAATCGTTTCTTATCCACAAGCTGCTGGGCCTGAGAACACTCGTGTTCAACAGCACTCCACTTCACATTTTCAAAATAAATCTCTCAGAAAACATTCCTAGCATCCATATTCCAAGTGAGGAGATTTAACGCAACTATGTCAGGACAAGTGCTATGAAATGAATTGAATATTTTATAAAGACACATTAAAAAAAAGCCAGTTGATAGAGGTTTGTTGTTGATTAACCACAAGTAAAACAATTCCTCCTGTAGTTAATTTTAGAGATAACAGAACTCAAAAGCAATCTTGAAAGTACAGTATCAAATATAAAATAGCCTATATTCTGCTGTGAATAAACCCTTCAAATAAAGCAAATTATCAGTGCCCATGGAGTCAAATCCATTAGCTCTTCCTATGATTACATGTTGAAGACGGGAGCTCAGTGGTATAATGCTAAGCATGTGTGAGGCTCTGGGTTCTATCTCAAGTACTACATACAAAATACGATTTCTATACTGAAAATATTAAAGGCCACATTGATGTTGATTTTGTAGATACACTATTCTAATTTTGAACCCTAACCCCAAATATATACACTAGGAGGAGAATTTTATACTTTACATATACAGCCCTTAATGAATTATTTTAACAGAGTCGTTGTAGATCATACTCAAGATCTTTCAAGCCTTGAGCAACTACAGAATGCATTCAGTCTTTTCATTAATTAATTCATTTAAAAATTGTGTTTGAGTACATCAGAGACGTGAGGCTTTTTGAAATATAATGAGTTCTATCACACTGTATAAAGATAAGTGACCATGGCTTCCTGAGACAGTCCCCAGGATTGTTCCCATTTATCAGAAGCAAATCATTCTATTTTCTTTGTGGAGCATCCTGGTCTCATGCCAGGTTTTTCAACAATGCTCTGTGGTTAACTGACTATAAAGACACAAAAGACACAACAGAGATATCATTGTTAGCATCCTAGACAGTGATAGACTGTGAAAGCCTCAGTATTTACATGGTAATTATCAATTTTGTGATTATAAAGTTTCCCTTTTCTCCCCCTCTTAATCTTCAGGCTCAGTTACTAGCTCCCCATTAGGGCTGTACTTTTAGGTGTGAACTGGCAGAGGAAGAGGAGTCCCAACTCTTCTAATGATTACAGGAAAATTGCCTCAACATTCCTAACTATTTAACTTTCTCCAAAAAAAGACCAGAGCTTCAACAGCTCAAGGTTGAAGGCTTGAACACAAATTCCTCATGTTGTCTAAAATTTCACTGAATAGTTTTAAAAGAAAATATAATGTTACCCTCTAAGAAAGGCAATTCCAAAAGGAAGCCCTAGCACATGTGTAGCTAAATTATGGGTTTAAAAACTATAGACTGGAT